GAGGTCCCTAGGACCATCAAGGGAGAAGAGCAGAGAGTGGGACCCTACCCAGAGAAGCAGTGATGCCTGAAATGGAGCCAGAGATGATGACGTGGCACGATGGAGCAGCTGGAGACTTTAGATCCAGAGAGGGAGAGTGACTGTGTGCTGAAGACCTGGGGGGTACGGGGGAAGGATTGCATGGAGGGCATTATAACCATGGCAATGAGACGAATATACGATCAAATAAATGTAAAACTAATGTTCTCCCATGTAAACTATCACATAATTCACAATAAAACATTTAATAATAATAAGAAGAAAAAAAAGTACCATGGACTGCCAGAAGAACAAACAAATCTTTGTTGGAAGTCAGAATACTCCTTCCAAGCCGGAATGGTGAAACTTCCCTCTCATACTTTGGACTAGAGGGACTGGTTCCCTTGATAAGTATATAATGCTTGGTAAAGTGGAAGGTCAGTCAGTGAAAAAGACTCCCAACGAGATAGATTGGGACAGTGTCAGCAGCAAAGGGTTCAGGGTTCACAACGATTGTGAGGAAGGCTCAGGACCGGCAGCATTTCGTTCTGTTGTGCATAGGGTCGCTTTGAGTCGAACACCGACTCGACGGAACGTAACAACAGCAACAACGGCGATTTAGCATAAGCACTAGACTGTTAATCACAAGTTCGGGGGTTCAAACCCACCAGCTGCTCTCAGAAACCCTATGGGGTCTCTATGAGTTGGAACCGATTGGATGGCACTTCACAACAAGAAGCAAGATAAAGCCGAGGAATCAGTGAGAAGCTTCCCTCCAATTCCTTTAATGAGCTCATTAAGAACCCGTCATCATGTCTCCTGTGGTACTCTTCTAACAGACGGCGGGGACCAGCAAGACCAATGTGACCCAACACTTGGAGAAAAAATTCCCCGGAGACGGGCCAGAAGCGCCCCGCCCCACGCCGGGGTTTCGATTCCAGCCCCAAGCCCCGCCCTGCAGCGCTTAGCTCGAAGCCCTGGGGTTGAATGGCGGCCGCTACGGGGACAAGCGAGATACCCGGGGGCCCGAGGGCGGCAGAGCCCGAGGACGTGAGTGGCCTGCGCTGCCTGGAGCACAGCGACCGTGTGGCCGAGCTCTTCTGTCGTCGCTGCTATCGCTGCGTGTGCGCGCTGTGTCCAGTGTTGGGCGCGCACCGTGGACACCCAGTCCGCCTGGCTCTGGAAGAGGCGGCGTTGGTGCTGGTGAGGATGTGAGCGGCGCTGGGAGGGGGTGTGGGGAGAGTTCTGGCGTGATGGCTGGGGAGGGAGGGTGCAGGCAGGGGTTACTGTCGGTACCCGGACGGTTCGACGGTTCCCAGAGGCCATTGAGGCATCCTCCTGTTGTTCAGAACGGGACACAGAGGCCAGGTGAGGGCAAAGGCAACCCCAAGCCATTGGTTATGACTCAGAAGAAGTGAAATTGAGGAGACAGAATTTAAGACTGCTGTTACAAAGACTTTTAAACTTTATCCGCTGTGTCAGAACCTGAAAACTACCCTTGGACTGCAAGAAAATAAGCCATTTAACAAAGGTGAACCTCTCCCATCACCCCACCTCACCCTCATCCCACTCTTCCCTCCCCCCCATTTCTACACCTCCCTCCCAGCCCTGCCCCCTCTAGAAAACAGCTGTGTAGTTCCAGAAAGCCAAACTGAAGTCTCTTCTAGTTGTTTTTCTATCTGGAGCTAAGAGAAAGGAACTAAATTACCAGATTGCCCAGGGAGCATCAACATCACCTCCACTTCCTCACGCTGTGCCTCCCTCACTGCCACTCCATGGGTGGAACAGCCTTGTGGGCAGCTAAGGCTGGGAGGCACAGGCAGGCTTTGAACCCAGGATTTCATACACTGGGCTTGTCCCGCCTCCCCCCCCCATAGAGCCCTTTGTCACCTTGGCCCAAGTGTAATCCTAAACTAGTGACCAGGGGCTCTGGAACAGAGACTGGCATGTGAGTAAATAATAAGTGAAAGCTTTTCCTTCAAATCCAAACGGCTTGCCGTAAGGTCCTATTTGAGGGACTAGAAAAACAGACCACAGCAAAATTTGCCCTAAGCAAAAACAAAAAAGGAGGGACATCAAAATGTGATGTGTCAAGATGTGAACTTCTGAGGATTAGCCGAGCTCAGCTCATCCTCCCAAGTTGACGCATGACGCGTAACTTTTATTTGAGTCTCAGATACTTCAGCAGAAAAAAATCTCGGGAGAGAGAAGATGATTGGGGTGCCTTGTTTTCTCATAATGACAGTATTAAGACTTTTTTCCTTACACCCTCATGTACAGAAACTCACCCAAGACGGTTTAAAGCAGTTGGCAACCAAGAAGCAACAAGAAATTGATAACATAACCCACATAGAAGACGCTGCTGAGAAGCTCAAGGTAAGTAGACATCTCTTCACTCTTGTAATGGAGATGCTCACATTTCTCTTTAGACACCAACATAGAGCAAAACAAGAACAACAATAAGAAATCAGCCTCAAAGGGGCAAACCACATATGGTGAAGACTAGACTCTCTATGGAATCCTGGTGTGGGGCTGCAGGACAATGAGTTGAACCGCAAGGTTGATTTGAACTGTAAGGTTGACTGTTCAAACTCACTAGCTGCTCCTTGGAAACCCTCTACAGGGTCGCTATGAGTCATAACCGACTCCACAGCACTTAACAATAACAACAGCAAGGCTCCTTATGGAGTCCTGGTGTGGCGCTGTAGGCTCAGCACTCAACTGCTAAGCAAGCGCAAGGTCAGCAGTTCAAACCCACTAGTTGCTCCTCAGAAACCCTATACAGAGTCACTATGAGTTGGAAGTGACTCAACAGCATTTAACAATAACAATGACAACAATCTCCTTATATAAGGAGCTCTGGTGGTGCAGTGGTTAAGCACTTGATTGCTAACCAAAAGGTTGGTGGTTTGAACCCATCAGCCACACTGTGGGAGAAAGATGTGGTAATTTGTTTCTGTAAACATTATGGCCTCAATATATAATAAGAGGAAGGTCAATAAAAATTAATAAGAGCAAAGAAAGACACTGGGAAGAGTACAAGGGTTCAATACAACAGAGGAAAGTACTATTTATATACAGACAGGCAAACTGAACAGATGTGGGAAAGAGAATGGTGGTTGGAAACCCTATACAGGTCATTATGAGTCAGAACATAGATAGGTTTGGCAAAGGATATTTCTATGTGTGTCTTTACCTATGCTACAAAGATATCCTTGAATATAGTAGAGCATATGGGAGGCAAAGTTATGAAAACTTGCTCTCCCTTGAGGGAACGAGTGACTGCTGGGAGGCTGAGGACCATCATCTTGAGGGACATCAAGGTCAATTGGTGTAACACAGTCCATAAAGACAATGTTCTAAGTCCTACCTTGGTGAGTACCGACAGGGGCCTTAAAAGCTGTGGGTGCAACCTAGCTTTGATGGCTTGATCAGAACTCGACTAAAGGATGATAAAAAAAAATTCTTGATAAAGGAAACAAGTGTAAATTGCTACAACATGATGAACTTGACCTATACTTATGGATGTAGTATTTCAAAATACCAACTGAGAGGGAAGGAGTCTTCACATCAAGTATCAATCCTAACCCATCCTTATACAGGGTTGATAGGGATAGACAACTTAGACATTGGCTACCTAAAATGGGGGGTTATAAAGGCACAAAGTGACTGGCTTACAAGTTTTTAAGAGGGAGGTTAGTTCCAGAAGAGAGCACGAGTAGGATGTGGGACCCTATCCAGAGAAGCAGCGACACCAGAGATGGGAGGCAGAGATGAGGACATGGAGAGATAGAGCAGCTGAGGACTCTAGACTCATGGAAAGAGAACGGCTGTGTGTTGGCGGCCAGGAGGCAGGCTTGCAGAAAGTGCCCTTTGGTGGTTTAAATGATTATATGTTCCTGAATGTTTTTTGTTGTTTTTTTTTTACATCCCCAAAACAAAACAAAACAAAACAAAAAAGAAACAGAAGAACTAAAGAATGCAATCAGCCAACTTATCCTCACAGATATATATACAAAGTACTCCACTCAGCAACAGCACCACATATGTACTTTTTTCCAGTGCAAGTGGGACATGTTGCAGAATGTATCATATGTGAAGCCACAAAACAAGACTCAATACATTTAAAAACATTTAGGTGGCCAACAAATGCATGAAGAAACATTCATGATCTTTAGCAATCAGAGATATAAATAAAAAACAATGAGATTTCATCTCACCCCAGCATTAATAACAAAGTCTTAAAACAGCAAACCACAATGCTGACAAGGGTGTGGCGAGACTAGAGCATTCATATACTGGTGGAGGGGTTGTAAAATGGTACCACTGCTGTGGAAAACAGTACAATGCTGCCTTAAAACATTGGAAATAGAAAGAGGAGTACCATATGATCCAGCAATCCTATTAGGAGGTCTGTTGATGTTGTTAAGTGCCATTGAGTCAGTTCTGATTCATAGATCCTGTAGGGCACTGTAGGGTAATCACAGGAACAAAAGTTCAGTTTGAAATCTCAGAGGATCGCTTTGAGTCGGAACCAATGTCATGGCATTTAACTACAACAGCAATGATAGGGTAAGAAGGAAAAAAAACAAAGCTTATGGGTGGCCCTCTAAGGTGCAACTATTGGTGTCTCACCAACCAGAGCAATGAAAAGTACGAAAATCAAAGACATGTGGAAGCAAATAGGCCAAAGAACTAACGGACCATGTGAACCTCAGCCTCCATGACCCTGAGACCAGAGGACTAGATGAAGCCTGGCTGGTTACCAGTACTCATCATTCTGAAAGAGATCCCATTACAAGGTCCTGGACAGAATGGAAGAAATATGTGAAACCAAACTCAAAATCTTAAAAAAGACAAGGTTTACTGATCTGAGACAGACTGGTGGAACTTATCTTTGATTGTCAACACTTTCAAAAAATCTTTTGTAGCAGAAATTTGCCCAGTGCAATAAGTCATTTGATTTCCTTACTGCTGCTTCCATGGGTATTTGTGGATCCAAGTAAAATGCAATCTTTGACAACTTAAGTCATAATGTATACTTCATTCAGGCTTACCCTTTCATAATGACGTTTATTTGAATGGATTATTTTATGGATTTTGAATAGAAAATTGGGACTGGTTACTGTTGAGTCACCATTTTGACCATAAGAAAGTTGATACATTTTGGGGGGCCTTTTGGTGACCTCAGGCTGGTCCCTTTTTCCTCCCAGCCTCCATTCTCATGCGCTCAGAGCTCCACGAAACCCTGACTCATCACTCATGTCAAGCAGGGAGCCTGGTTCTGGTCATGGAAGTAGCTGGCACTAAGAACTTACTGAAGATTGGACCCACAACAGAATGGAGTCTTGGCTGGAGATGGTGAAGTGCAAAAGTCCAGGACACACCCTCTGACCAACATCCATTATCTAGAATGTTTGCAGGGAATATACTTCTAGTTTACACCTGTGGTCTTGGTTTAATTATTAATAGTATCCTTCATAAAGGAGTCACTGGGCTTTGGGACTTTGGACCACAGTCCCAGGGGACATCTAGGCCAATTGGTATAACATAATCCACAGAGATGATGTTCTGCATCCTGTTTTGATGAGTATCAGTAGGATCTTAAAAGCGTTCAAACAGCCCTATAAAATGCAACCACTGCCCTCTCCTAAATGGAGCACAAAAGAGTGAAGACAATCAAAGACTCATGGAAACAATCAGGCCAAAGGAGTGATGGACCATGTGAATCACAGTCCCCGTTAATCTGAGACCCAAAGAATTAGATGGTATCCTGCGACCACTACCAGTCGCTATGATCTGGATCACAATAGAAGGTCCTGGACAAAGTGGGAGGGGAAAAAAATTCAAAATCATAAAAAATAAAGGACCAGACTTCTACTCGAGACTGGAGGAAACCTTGAGTCTATACACTTAGACATAGACATACTTCTAGATCTGGAACTGAACCCACCACAGAGAAAAACTTTCAGCCCAACTATAAATAGTCCTATAAAGTGACTAACACTAGGAAAGAATGCATTCCTCAGTACAATCAACTATACAGGACCAAAAAGGCAACATTTGCCCCCAAACAAAGCTCAGAAGGCAGGAAAGGTCAGGAAACATGGTCACATGGCAATGGGGAACCCAGGGAGGAAGTGGGAAGAATGCTGTTCCATTGAGAGGATTGCAGTCAATGTCACAGAACAAAATGTGTGTAAGTTGCTAAGTGAAAAACTAATTTGTTTTGCAAAATTTCACTGAAACTACAATTACAAAAAAAAGTTTTCCGCATGTCTTGAAGAGCAGAACTACAGATTCAGGGATATAAATCAGTTCAAAATGAGAATTGAAGAGGGGAAACTGGCACACCCAGAGGTATAAGGGATGGTGTGCTGTGGGCTCTTCAACCTCCAGGACAGAGTTGGAGCCCAGGATCACTGCCTGCAAGTTTCTAAACAGATATGGTTTGGGTCTCCCAGGGAAAGAGTTAGGACCATTGTGGTGTAGGGAAGGTCTGGAAACAGATTTCATTTTAATAGAAAAGAATGGTTTTCTTTATTTTTACCCAAACTTTACTTTTAAACTTGTATTTTGAAATAATTATAGATTTGCTGGAAGTTGCAAAGATAGTACAGGGAAGTTCTGTGCACCTTTTACCGAGTTGCCCCAATGGTTGCATCTTACAGGATAATATTAAAGCCAGGAAAGGAACAATTTTTGTACAGTTCTATGAAAAATTTTCACACATATAGATTTGTGTAGCCAATCAAGATATAGGAATAATCTACACCCCAAGCTCTACCTCTTTATAGTCACACCCAACCCCTCCAACCAACAATCTCTAACCCCTCCAAACTCAAAACCAATCTCACTGCTGTCAACTCAATTCCAACTCATAGCGACCCTCTAAACCTTTTCTCAATGCTTGTAATCCCTTCTGTGTAACATCAATGACCCCACTTCCTCTCTGTGATTCTGATCTTCCCAACCTTTCTGAACCTTGTCCGTAGGTTAATGTTATACTTTTGATCTTGAATGGTTGACCATTCCTTGATGAATGTCGTTGTTGTTGTTTTGTGCTATATGTTATGGAGTCAGTTCCCACTCATAGCAACCCTGTATAGAGTTTCAAAGGAGCAGCTGGTGGGTTTGAACCACCGACCTTATGGTTCACAGTCCAGTGCTGATCCTATGGCGTCACACCAGGAGTCCTTCCTTGGTGAGTATTCCTTACTAATGTTGCTCCCCCTATATACCTTATCTACTACTTGGCTGAAAATTGAAACACGAGGGTGAGTTCCACTCCAGACCTGCAAGGTGGCTGAGGGCCGCAGTCTCTATTTCCATCCCGTTGCTTTCTGATCAGTAAGCTCAGTCTTTCTTATGATTTT